CGTCCTAGGCAGAGAACATTAAATAGAAAATTTTGTAGAAGACAGCAGAACAGCCCCTTTGAACAGAAAAATCTGTAGAAGGCGCCGATTGAAGAGACGAAACTGAGGCTTGAGCGGGCTTCGTCCTTTTGCCAACCACCTCTGACGAATCACTCCTACTACAATCAACAATGCCGGAGTAAGGTGGAGCTCGCTGGAGATTGGGTGTCCTCTTCTACAGTAAAGCGAGAGAGAGAGAGGTGTGGGGGGATTGATGGCTTATCTCGTCTTCTTCGTCGCCTCTGTGCACCAGCCATAGTGATGCTGGACGAGTGTGACCGGAGAAAGAGAGGGGTAAATATGTCTGTGGGGTGATAACCTATTGACTGGGTTTGTAACCCATGGGGGAGGGTGGGTCGAGACTTGACCCGGGATTGTTATCCGACCTTAAAAAATGTTTTTCAAACAAAAAATAAATAAATGGGATCCACTACCTTATTTGTCTATTCTTATTCTTATGGTGTTAAACCTCTTTATCCTTCTACCCAAACACACCCAATATTTACTCGGATCAGTGATACAATTCCAACCGCGTCACCGACTTGGTATTGTCATCCATTAAGAAGCTAATAAGTCGACAAATGAACCCTATAAATTTTAGTAAGTATAACATTTATGTTATATAATGATTATTTCATGTAAAAAAGTATAATTTATTTTATTTATTTGTTGATTTTTTATTGAATTGTACTTTTATATGACAAATGTTGACATAGTATCATAGTTATTTTTAATATTTGATAATAAAAAAAAAGGAGATGATGTGACATTAACGTGGCAATATAATATATTCTTTTTTTTTTGTTTATTTGGAGTTTAAATTTTAGTTATTACGTCTGCGCACAATCAATTGGTTCCTTTTTTTTTTGTTTTTTTTGGTAAGTGCAACATTACCCCCACTTGGTAGGAGTCGTCTATGGTACCCATTTTTTTTTATACCATATTTTCATTTATCATATTTACCATAAAAATAAAAAAAAATATTCACAATTGTGATAAATTATTTACAAAAATAATAATTTTCTTTTGTACCGAAAGAAAGTGGTAAAAATAATTATCACAAACAGTGGTAAAAATACTCACAATAATGATAAAAATACCTATAAAAATAATAAATTATTCATAAAAATAATAATTTTTTAATTATAAAAATACCTATTAAAGTAATAAAAGTCGAAAATATGATATCAACATTTTTTTTTTTGGTACCGTAATCAAGTACCACACGGTAATCCAAATCAAACCACGTCAAAATGCACACTGAAGTCGACAAAACCTTGAAGCTTTAAGTCAGACCTACCTTATCCTCTACACGATAAGGCAGGGATATGGCCAACACATTGTTGTCGTTGAGTCAATAATGTTAGTCAGCAATACATTTAAGAAGCACTTCCACACACAGCCCAAGCTTGTTTGTTGGTATGGTACTACCATCATGTGATGGATATGATAGGGCATGTGTCATTTGGAACCATCTCTGTCTCTATCTGCAATTTTTATGTGTAGCCCAAGCTTGTTTTTTGGTATGGTACTACCATCCTGTGATGGATATAATAGGGCATGTGTCATTTGTAATCATCTCTCTCCCTATACACATGTCCAGACAGGAATTTATTGCCTCAGAGGATGCCGGCATGTTCTCTCCGCAAATGGAACTAGAGGTGTTTAGGGTTAAGAAATATGACATTTCATCTTTTTATTTGATATTTTAAGAAAGAATTTTTTTTTAACATATTTTATCCGATCAAATGTGGTATTCTTACCCGATTTTTGGCCAAATTAATTGAGTAGAAAGTTGAGTAAGAAATCAGGTGAGTGCTTTTATAATTATTAATTTTTAAATTATTTTAACAATTCAAATACATAACATGCACCAATTTAACAATACAAACTAATAACACTAAAATTTAAAACAATTACGATTACAATTATAATAAAACACAAGAAAGTATAAACATAAATTCATCATAATTGTTGCAAAAATATAATAATAATTATTTTAAATTTAAACCATATGATTAAGAAATTAAGGTATTTTAGTGTCTATATATATATATATATATATATATATATATATATATATATATATATATATATATATATATATATATATATATATATGCAGGTAAGAATACGAAAATTAATGGTTATTCCGCATTCAAACTAAATTTAATCAGAAAATCAAAAACTTTTTTGTATTTCTACTCAATTTTTTTGGCTAGTCGTTTAATAGGATCAAATATAATTGGGTATAATAGAAAATTACGATCAATCAAAAATTTGAAGACCTTAAAGAGAAGTAACCAAAAAAATCTCGAAGTTGATGGGATTGAAAATTACAATCAAACTTGTAACATGTGGAGTCCATCAAAAGTTTTTTGTATTTTTAGTCAAATTTTTTGACTAATCGTTTAATATGGTCGAATATAATCAGATAGAGTAAAAAATTATGAGTAATAAAAAATTTATACACGTTAAAAGGAAGGAACAAATGAAATCTCTAAGTTGATGGGATTGAAAATGACAATCAAACTTGTAACATGTGGAGTCCATAAAAAGTCAAAAGTCTCACTTCCTTTAAATCCTCTCTGCCACATGCACAAAGCACTGGGATTCAACTAGAATCAACCGAAAAATTTGGTCCACCAACCAATGTCTCCCTCTCCTCTCTCCCAACCCTCTCTACTAAAGTTTGTGGTTGTGTGGTCAAATGCAAATTGATATAATGGAGTACAAAATGCTCTTGAATAGGTTGCATAGTTAATGCCATGTGCTAAAATCTATGACATTGGAGATAGTGGGATTGTCAAAAGCTTCATACGTAACTGATCATCAACTTGGTAGACATTCTCTACCCATTAAGCTTTCCTATAACTTTCAAAAAATTAAAAAAAAAAAAAAGAAGTGGAATATTATCATTTTTATTGGTGTTGAGTATATCTTTTGAAGCTTCTACTCTTGTACCATTTTATTTTTTTAATGCAAAATGCTATATGTATTCTTCCAATGAAAGGCTTCTCATTATTATAGATCGTGATTGATTTCTCAAAAAGTATTGGCGATGCTAATATGTGGAATAAAACGTTAATAATAACATTCCACTAGTTGGAATATAATATTGCATAAGGGTAAGTTTACGAGATATGGAGAATACCCAATTAGAGCAATGATATTTGGACGTCATTTGAGGGGCTAAGGCATTGCTACCATTGAATTATTTTGGATTCTAGTTTTATATCTAATTTGGAGATTTCTTTGAACTAGGATTCAACATAAATTCAACAACATGACTGTACTCTGAGTTATCTTTCAAGCACCAACATAAACTAATTAAGGCATCCTTTGATCATAAATTGCTTACCACATACTGAAAAAAGAAGAGAGGCTAACATGATCTAATAGATTTAAATAAACATATTTTTACATTTTTTGTTTTAGAGGGAGAACACAAAGCCTAATGATGTAGTATTCTAGTTAACAAAACCAATGGGAATATATCAACGTGAACGAGTAGCCCAATGGTGTAGGATTTGTCTAAGGGAGTCGTAAAAGAAAACCAAAAATCCAAGCAAATCCAAATGAACTCCCTGCTGGGGGAGAAAGAGAGGGTGGAAGAGAGGGGGGGGGGGGGGGGGGGGGGTTACACCTGGGGACTACTGAGGGACCTCTAGGATAATGTCTGATTACTCCATCTTTGAACATGACAACTATGTTCCATCAATGGCCACACGCTATGTACTGTATATGTGTGTGTGTGATTGTGCATATATATAAATAAAAAATCAATTTAAGAGAGAAGATCTCAGAATCAATTTAAGAGAGAGAAGGTCTAAGAAACTTTTTACTCCTAATTTTGAATTATTTAATGAATATGTATTGGCCTCTTCTAATTGAATCTTAGTATTGGGCTAGGTAATTACTTTCAGTTTCTTGGTAACTATTTCATATTTGAATTTCTCATCATATTTATGACTAATTCCTATTTAATTTTTTATAAAATATCAATTTAAGACATTATAAAATAATTTTTTACTAATTATAGGATGGGGTGAGAGTATGAGTGCGAGTGGAGAGATATCAGATATTTTCACACGAGGTGACTAATAATACTTTTCTATGCACCAATTGGTTCGAATAAAAACATAAAAGCACGTGATCGAATATGTACAAACTAAGCATCAAAGAAATATATATATATATATGTGTGTGTACAAACTCACATTAATTATTTGCTGTGCAGAAGATCCGTCTACTGATTTTGTTCTTTTTTCTTTATTTGGGTAAGCAAACATTATACTGGTGATGTTCTGCAAAAGTACTAACTTTGATCTGTAGCCACGTGTTATCTATAATCGTACTCTTTTTTTTCTTCTTTTTTTCTTTAATTTATTCTTAGTTAATTAGTAAGTGAAATAATATACACAAACACTTATATTTCAGTGTCTACATACACAGTTTACATATTTATTTATAGAACAAACATTTCTTCCACTCTCCTCTATCTCATTGGTCTCTTCTCTCTTCTTTATAGTCCTACCATTATCCATAATCCATCAATGGAGTCTAAAATTTCCTTGTGGCTGCAGTCTCTTCATATCTCCTTGTGGTTCCTTATTTTCTTTGTCATTACTTCTCTTTTCTCTCTGTTACTCTACTTAAAGAGACTAAACTTTTGGTGCAATTGTGCAATTTGTCAAGCTTACATGTCCTCCAGTTGGTCAGCCCAATTCAGTAACTTGTGTGATTGGTATACTCATCTTCTCCGAAACTCACCAAGTAAAACCATTCACATACATGTACTTGGTAACACAATCACTGCAAATCCTCAAAGTGTTGAATATATACTCAAAACAAGATTTGATAATTACCCAAAAGGGAAACAGTTCTCGATGATCTTAGGTGACTTTTTGGGTAGGGGAATCTTCAACGTCGATGGCGAGTCCTGGAGGTTTCAGAGGAAAATGGCAAGCTTAGAGCTTGGAAGAAGATCAATACAGTCATATGCGTTTGAGGTTGTTCATCATGAGATTGAAAGCCGTCTCATCCCTCTTTTACTGTCTGTTTCGGACAAAGAAGATGGTTTCTTGGACTTACAAGATGTTTTCAGGAGATTTTCTTTTGATTGTATTTGCAGATTTTCGTTTGATTTGGACCCAAAGTGCCTAGAATTGTCCCTACCCATCGCAGAATTTGCTGTTTCCTTCGATTTGGCGTCTGAATTATCCGCCATGAGAGCCCTGACAGCTTCACCTCTGATTTGGAAGATCAAAAGGTTGTTAAATTTAGATACTGAGAAGAAACTAAAAGAAGCCATCAAAATGATCGACGTATTAGCCCATGAACTCATCAAACAAAAGCGTAAAAGCGGAATTTCGACGCATAAAGATCTTCTGTCTCGGTTCATGAATACTATTAGCGACGAAAAGTACCTGAGGGACATTGTCATCAGCTTCGTCTTGGCCGGCCGGGACACCGTGTCGTCGGCGTTGACAAGTCTTTTCTGGGTGTTGGCAAACCACCCAGAAGTAGAGGCAGCCATTCTGATTGAAGCTGATCGAGTCATTGGGGCAAACAAAACGCCCACAAGCATTGAACAAATGAGAGAACTTCATTATTTACAAGCAGTGATCTATGAGAATTTGAGACTGTACCCACCCATACAATTTGATTCAAAGTTCTGTTTAGAAGATGATCGGTTACCGGACGGAACGTTCGTGAAGAGAGGGACGAGGGTTACTTATCATCCTTATGCAATGGGTCGAATGGAAGAGATTTGGGGTCCAGATTGCTTGGAATACAAGCCAGAAAGGTGGTTGAAGGATGGTGTGTTCTATCAAGAGAACCCATTTAAGTACCCAGTTTTTCAAGCCGGACTTAGGGTCTGTTTGGGGAAAGAAATGGCACTGGTGGAGATGAAAAGTGTGGCACTTTCATTACTGCGACGATTCCACATCAAATTAGCTGCACCACAGCACACGCCTCGTTTCTCTCCGGGACTCACCGCCACTTTCAGCGGCGGTCTTCCTGTCTTGGTGAGACAACGGGAAGCCCTAATTTAGGCCATACCACCATGGTTATACACTATCAAGGTACCCTGTAACCCTAAATTTGCAAATCTACAGCGCAATATAGGCTGTTTCGCTTTCAGTATAAGTATTATGGTGGGTGATATGCCTTCATCTGAAATTGAAAGAAAGTATATTGAAAAGGATCTTACTGTAACCATGGATAAATCTGATATTGGTGGGTCGTGATCATGGGTAAAAGTGATGGGATCCATCTTGTTAGTAGGGTTCTATGATCTTCATGCAGAAGTTTGTTGGATTACTCCTGATTCTCGAGTGTGAATATTCATGTATCCGTTCACTTATGCACTGATCGATTATCTATGCGTATTATTCTAGCGTACACCAAAGTCTGCAAATGTTTTCTCATATTGAGTTTAGCAAGAGCTTCTAATCTTTTCTACCCTAAAATTATTGGCAAAAGACTTTGTTGAATTGTATTCTTTTACACAGCTAATGTATGTGGCCTGTGAGCTGATAAATCTTCTTGATATTTGCTCGATCGGGTTCCTGAATTGGCACAAAGGTTCCTGGCCTATTTCAGGCCTAGAAACCCTAAGAATTAGGTTGGACTGGCTGAAAGTTTAAAATCTGTCCAGAGGTTCAATTTTGTGTAAAAGCCTTAGTGTATCAATTGTACCATGTGAAACTTGTTTGTGTCGGGATTTAAACGGGTTTGTATCACAAAATATTTAATTTTTATCTGATTCGTTTATTAATTCGTATTTAATTATTTGTTTCATATCAGGTTCGTGTCGTATATGAATCATATATAATCGATATATAAACTAGCTGACGTACTGTGTATTTTTTTAATTGACTTCACACATACCTAATTTATTTATTAATCATTTCGTGTCGATTCTACTCATTTACAAAGCGGGTGGTTTTAAAAAGACCTAAATCCAATAATATCGTATCATGTTAACAAATTGTATCATATTTTGACTCCTTTATATAAAATTATCCTCATCACTCATTCTCTAAATCACTAAACGTAAACCCAACCTATTGATAATGTGGGGAAATGAAGGAACCAGATTAGGAGCATACGCGGATATATAGAAGGACCAGGTTGAAAAAAAAAAAAAAAAAAAAAGGACCCAGTCGTTGCCAAATGGTACACCCATAGCCGCTCATATATAGCTGAAACAAGTAAGAGGAAGCTAATTGTAATGGCCAAACTATCAATTTCAATAAGAGCTAGTGTTTTCTCGAACATTAGGAATATACTTTTGATGGGACTCTTCTGAAAAGCCCTATGATGAAGACACGTGTCCTCGGGGTTCTAGGACAATGTTGCTCGGATTCAAGCACCATCGGCAAAAAGTGTCCTCTCCCCCGAGGTACCTCTCATATAGGATCACATATTCGGTGCATTATACAACGACACGTGTCCTCGGTCACCGTGTAGCTCGGAACATACCGCCCTCGGTCCCCGAGGTGAGTCTTTCCTCGGTGCCGAGGGTCACTCCATCCTGGACGCTTCCTCTACTCCCGGATAAAGCTACTGACGTACGGGACATCAGCCTATGCCAGTCTAGACTATTCATCATGACCTCGTCTTAACACAAGTAATGTCAGAACATGCTGGAATACCGACGTCACAGCCAATAAGGGATGAACGCGTGGCAAATAATGTCACATCAGAAACAGACAAATAGCATGCTGTTGCTGACACGCGCTTTGGGAAAGCAAAACAATTAATTGCACCCTTCTGTTGACGAGACCGCATTCAATGCGGTAAGGTTCGGATATGAAAGGCAATAAATGCTCCTATTGCCGAGCATTTATTGCATCCTTCCCGAAAGGAGCATACTGTACCGTCGGCATCCCGACGACTCAGCATTGATTGCTCGGGACCCCGAGCAATCAATTAGAGAAGACATTCCTCATCAAATCAATACACACGCTACCTGTGCCTGATGATCACCTACTGACCACACTGACAGCAATCATGAGCTTCTAAGGTATAAATACTCCTCCCAAAAGGCAAAGCGGGTATGCAATCACAAACTCTCTACTACAAAATATCCTTCTCAGTGTTTTCTCCTTCCTCTCTCTCATTCAAAGACTGACTAGACCGTCGGAGGGGATACGCCGGAAAACACTCCGGCTCCCTTCTAACTTGTTATCCTTTGTTCCAGGAAAACCTTTCACACGTACAGGGTCGTTCGTCCTTTCCCAGGATCTTCCCTTTGCCGTTCCAGGTTGCCACCGTACCTTGCAGGCTGTTTCAAGCAGCGTGTTTGGCCACTCAACCGGCTCACCCAAAGTTCACCAGGGGAGAGATCTGTTCCCAATATTTTATACATCGTGCAGGATCTAGCCCGCACAATCTGGCGCCGTCTGTGGGAAAAGAGTAGTTTTCCTAATCTTTTCTCTATTAAGAACAGTGATCATGGTGAACACCAGACAAAAAGGGAAAGGACCCCACCAAAGGAGTCATGAGTTGCAAGCTCCCTGCCATCACGGAGGGAGGGATCGTACCAGTACGATTAAGAGTGCCTCTACTCGGTCAAGGGGGGTAACCCCCCAAACCAGTATGGGGATCAGATCAGGAGGATCAGCCCCCTTGGCCCGTCAGCTGGCGGAGGTGATAGAAGAGAAATTTGGCGATAGATTACGTCAGCTGGAGAAGGACAATGTAAACGTCCTTAGCCGGCTCGACGAGTTTGCCGCCTCAGGCGGAGGGTCGAGGGATTCATTCCTTTCCCGAGGGCTCCCCGTCCATGAGGCGGAGACAAAGGATCTAAGAAACCACCTGGATCACAAAGCAGAAAGCTCCAGGGCCCCGAAGCGACCCAGAGCCGGCGAATGCCATCTTGACAACCATTCCAGAAAAGCGAGGCCGTTGGCCCTGGACGACCTCCGGCGAGGTTTATCCAGACGGAGGAGGGGAGATGAATCCGAGGAGGACTCAACCCAATCTACACGACGTCCAGGAAACGAGGGGCTTACCGACGAACCCAGGGACTTCAGGAGGCATCCCGTAAGGGAAGAAGTAGATCTCAGAGCCCGATTAGACTCCAGAAGAAAGGGTAAGGTGGTCCAGGACGAGGCCGAGGACGAAGTCATGCAAACACCCTTCACGAGGGAAATCAGTGAGATGGATATCTCAAGAAAGTTCGTTGTGCCACGGTTCAAAACCTATGATGGGCGATCCGATCCCGAAGCCCATATCAGACAATATAAGCAGATGATGTCCCTCTATCATTCGGACCAACGTTTTCTATGCCGGGTGTTCCCTATGAGCTTGGGGGACTCCGCGATGAGGTGGTTCGAGACGCTTCCCCCAAACAGTATTGGGTCTTGGAAAGAATTGACAAGGCAGTTCCTAACCCGATTCATCACGGGGAGTAAGCGCCCCAAGGACATTGGATCATTGTTGACCCTCAGACGGAGGGAATCCGAGACTCTTCGCCAGTACGTCATCCGATACTGGGAAGAAGTCAATGAGGTCGAGGGATGCTCGGAGGTCATGGCGGCGGCATCTTTCCGGCTCGGCTTGGCGAGGGACACGGGCCTGTACCGATCCCTGACCAAGAAGACTCCCTCGGATATGGGGGAACTGATGGCCCGGATCAACAAGTACTCAAGGGTCGAGGACGAGCTGGGAAGCTACAAAGGTCGAGCCCTCCAATCCAAGAGAAAGGAGAAAGAGCGCGAAGATATTCCCCGAAAGGGGTTGTTACCCCATTCAGGGGGTTCATCCAGAGGAGTTCACACCGTCTTCAAGGAACCCATCTTCAGGTTGCTCCATAAAATCAAACACGAGCCGTTCTTCAAATGGCCGCCCAGGATGCAGAGCGACCCCTCCACCCGTGATCAAAAAGTAAGGTGTTCATATCACCGGGATGTCGGGCATCGCACCGAGAGCTGCAGGGTGTTCAAGTCATTCTTGGAAGCTTAGTCCGAGATGGATATTTGAAAGAATACATAGAGCCTAGGCCAGAAGAAAAACGAGCCCTTGCCCCGACCGAGGAACCGGACAACGTCATAGACGTCATCCATGTATGTCCGCTGGAGCGCCCCACGTCCAAAGAGCTCGAATCCGACCTCAAGAGGGTAGCTTTTACCAGAAAGGTAGCCGAGGGAGATGTGGGGCCATCAAGTAAAAGGGCCAGGATGGGTGAGCTTGGCATTACGTTCTCTGACGCGGATTTGACAGGCGTGGTGATTCCTCATAACGACGCCCTTGTCTTAACCCTAAAGATAGGGAAATTCGATGTCAAGAGAATCTTGATAGATTCAGGGAGCTCCTCGGAGGTGATGTACTTCGAGACTTTGAAGCGGATGGGCTTTGGCCCCAAAGACTTAACCAAAATCAGGACACCCCTCATCGGGTTCAACGGCTCTTTCGCCTTGCCCGTGGGGAAAATTACATTACCGGTCGCCACTGGTCCCTTCGTCATCGACACAGAGTTTGTGGTGATCGACACGGACTCTCCTTACAACGTGATTATGGGGCGAACATGGCTGCACGCGTTGGGAGCGGTGCACTCCACTCTCCACCAGAAGTTGAAGTTCGCCACGCCAGAGGGCGTCATGGAGATCCGGGGGGATCAAGCGTCTGCGAAGAACTGTTTTTATTCGGCCGTCCGAGCCGGGGCGTCCAGCCAGGAGAAGGGGCGAGCACCGGAAGAGATCATAGAAAAATAGCAATTACAGTCCGGGCGTCCGGGGATGGATGACCCCCGGGTAGACCCAGCTGAACGATCGGTTGAAGACCTCCGGAAGGTGCCCTTGGTTGAAGGAGAAGAAGAGAAGTATTTCCTAGTTGGGACCTCGATGCCCGCAGCCGAACAGGAGGAGATGATCAGGTTCTTAAGAGGGAATACAGACGTGTTCGCCTGGAACGAAATGGAAATGACAGGAGTAGACCCTGAGATAATTACTCACAGGCTGCATGTTGACCCATCTCACAAGCCAGTAAAGCAGAGGCCACGACGTATGGCCCCGCATCACACCAACGCGGTCAATGAGGAAATAGACAAACTCCTAAGAGCCGACGCCATTCGAGAGATACAGTTCCCAGAATGGCTGTCCAATACAGTATGTGCAAAAAAGAAAGGGGGGAAATGGCGTGTCTGCGTGGATTTCACAGATCTAAACAAGGCATGTCCCAAGGACGACTACCCCCTGCCGAAGGTGGACCAGCTGGTAGATGCCACAGCC